GTCTTAGGCGACCCCTGTGAAAGGGTCATTCAACCCCAAAAGGGGTCCCGACCCACAGGTTGAGAACCACTGGGTTAGAGCCACTAACAAAAATGAACAGCTCAAAGAAATAGACAGATTTAAACAATCTGTAGATAATTACAATTGGGAAACTTTTTTTTTTACAATAACATCATCTTTTCTCTGTGCCTGTTCTCCTTATGTGTGTGCGCGCGCGCGCAAGCGTTGCTATATTGTGCCTTAGGTTGCCATTTAAGAGAGGAATAGAGAGACTTCTTAAGGGCTTTTTAAATAAAGAACTTGAGTCAGGGCGTTTGTCTCCAGGGTTGTGCGTGTGTTCATTGTAGGTGACAATTCTTTTCCCAAAAGAAAACAGCCTTTTGATGCTTTTTTTAAGTTGTGAAAAAATAGCAATAAGACCTGTCAAGAGAATAGATCTCTGGTGCTTTGAAAGGGATATACATAGAAAACTGGTCCAAATTCAAAAGAGAGCTAGTGTAATAACAAGGAAAGAACTTCCAAGACTTGATTCATTCTTTAACATTTGAGAAACTGTGAAATGTATAAACACTTATGTGCTGTATTTGAAAATGATGCATAATGCATTCTGCAATAGAACAAAGAAATCAAATCTAAGAATTAAATAAATCAGAAATAAAAATATTAAAATATTTTCTTTGAATAAAATATATGTCAAAGGAAGATACTAGAAATCATCTAGAATTTTGAATGCCTCTGGACTTTTCTGTGTCATGCTATTACATAATGTGGCTGCTTTGCTTTTGATCTAACTTGTTGCAATAACCTAGCCATGAATAGTTTTAAACTGTATACCCCACTGATTGTTTCATGAGGAAAGGAATACATACCAATAATACATATTTTATACCTCAAACCAGCCCACCAGGACAACAATCTCTACCCTTTTTATTCTACTACATGTCAAACATAGGTGTTTTCTCATGTGACCCGACAAATGCGCGCATGATAAAAGCACGCCAACAAAACCGTGGCGAGAAAAGAGTGAGGTCGAAATCGCACCGACAACAACGCGCCGACAACAGCGCACCGACAAAAGCGTGATTAGGGTTAAGGTAAGGGTTGGGGTTGGGGTTAGGGTTGGGGTTAGGGTTATTACCTTGTTTTCACGTTTGTTGATGGCACGCTTTTGTCGGCGCTCTGTTGTGGGCACGATTTTGACCTCGCTGTTTTGTTGGCGCGGTTTTGTCGTGCGCGCATTTGTCGGTGAACCGTTTTCTCACACATGTTAGCATGTGTTTCATTGTTGGTTAACACCTATATTCTAATTGGTTACTGTGCACTTCAGGAATGGTCTGTCCCATTCAATTACTGGTTGTTGTTCTCCATGGCTATATTTTTACAAGTTCACCAGAGGAATGGTAAAATCTGGGGGCATCATCATTTCCTCCTCCTCTTCCTTCTTCACTGTTAGAACAGCTAAAGTATAACCTGTGCTTGGTTTTCATTGTTGTGAGTTCACTGATATAACAATGAGAAGATGGATCAGTCTTAGTAGCCTATATGGTCTTTTTTAAAAAACTGGTCAGGAGGGGATATGAAAGATGAAAACCTACCCTTTGTAAACATAGTCTGGAGAGAACATCAAGAAAACACTGTAGCCAAAACACAGGAAGAGGTTGTAATTTGGGAGGCTGTTTCTTTAACCAACTTATTTTCAGGCAGTTTAGAAGTGGAGGAAAAACAGCTGAAGACAATATTGGAGAAAACTCGGACTAGTTGGCAAAACCAATTAAAGTGCAAGATCACATCTCCATATATCAGATTTTGATTACTATTTGTGGGAAGAAATAAAACAAAATTAATTGCCTTCGTATCCTATTTGTGAGCCTCAACATTTTTTTAAAAAAAAGAGGCTCCCAAACAAATACAATTACATATAGTCCTCATTTTACTGTGCTAATCAGCATCATAAACATTATTGTTAAGCAACCATGTTGTAAGTCGAAAAGTCATATGACTGTACCACTTAGTGACAGCAGTACTGATTGCCCTCATTAAACAAGGATCACATAGGTCATTAAGGGAGGACATCATATGGCAATATCTTCTGACTTCCTGCCACCTTCCCCATTGACTTTGCTTGTGGGAAGCCAAACAGGGAAGGTTGCAAATCACAATTGTGACTGCTGGATAGCAATAGCACTTAGACTTATATACCGCTTTTACAGCCCTCTCTAAGCGGTTTACAGAGTCAGCATATTGCACCCAACAATCTGGGTCCTCATTTTATCGACCTTGGAAGGATGTAAGTCTGAGTCAACCTTGAGCCTGGTGAGATTTGAGCTGCCAAATTACAGGCAGTCAGCATAAGTAGCCTCGTTACTGCATTCTAACTACTGCGCCACCATGGCTCTTAAGAGCCATAAGATCAAGTTTTAACTAACACTTCTTCAGCACTGTCATAAATTTGTAAAGTCATCAAACAACCAGTTTTTAAACTTATCAAAAATTCACTAGCTTTCTGAAAATTCATATTTAATTTCTTCCATAATAACATGATTATTTTAAGAAAGAACTTGGGAAAATATTCAGATCGCCATGTCGATCATGCTAAATTTATTTGATATTGACTTCCCAACTTATGCACAAACCATAAATTACACACTGTTTATACATGAAGGTTTACATGTAGATTGCAAGTTATGTCTCAGGTTGAAATCTCTTCTATATAACAGTATTAAGTTATGAGACAATTATATATGATTATGTATCTGATATATGTGTAAACATTCAACTTTACAGAATTTGTGGGGTGAAATATTCCTAATTTAAAAGAAGCAGCAAATTAATAGAACCAGGCTTTCTCTTTATGACAATATGCTAATTATGTAACAGAGCTCTTTAGAGTCTTTTAGAAGTGGAGTAGCAGTGAAATGGATTCATTCTGCATTCTGAATCCTGGGGTTTATATTCTTAGCCTTGGAGGAAATAAGTCACTTTGAATCTCAAAAGCTACAGAAAAGGGGAAAAGAAAGCAGAAACTACCATATGTATGTAAATGAGACAGCTCTAATAGTGCAGATGAGGAAGTTGTTACAGCCAACAGCAGAGAAGAAGCTCATGCAAGGAAGTAGATCTGTTGTAGTATTGAAAGCAACCCTAACATTCAGTAGCTGTTCAGTTTACTCATGATCATGATGCATTTGGAAGAAGAAGAAGATCCATTTGTGCTTGATGAAGCGGATGATATCATCTGTGAAGGTAAATTACATCCTATAACACTGTTCTTTTAGCTGTTACATGCTGGTCGTAGGTTGATGGCACTTTATTGATTTCTTAAAGATCCAAATGTTCAGTATAAGAAAGCTAAGGATAAACCTTTCACAAAGAGTTGTGTTGGTTAAATAAAGTGCTAGAAGAATATGCATAACAATAAATTAGATTTATATTAAGTAGAGTCATGAGCTCTAAGAGTATTTTTGTAAAGTGATTTTCACTCAGGTAGGACTCAATAGGGGAATTACTCTATATTAAGTCTACAGTACACAAGATTGCAGCTTAATTTGTAATCCAAATTCAATTATAATTACATTCCACAATAATTATATTAATGTGAACTATCTGTAATTGCAGTCAACAAACTATTCCAGCAACTCTATTTGTAACTCTTGCACTAATATAGTTTTCATTTTCAGCAGTCAGGTAAAAATAATTACATTATTTCAGTACAGTAGTCATGTCTTTTCAGTTTCAGAATGAAAGACATCGATTTTTAGATACCGTACTTTTCGGCGTATAAGATGCACCTTTTTCCCTCAAAAAAGAGGGTGAAAATCTGGGTGTGTCTTATACACTGAATACAACATTTTTGGCCTCCCGAAACCCTGCCTCCTTTGGAAAAATGGCCATGCATAGCTTTAGGGGGCTTCCAGAATGCTCCTGGGGGCTGGGGAGGGAAAAATGAGCGAAAAATGGACTGTTTTTTGCTTGTTTCTGCCCCCCCCCAGCCCCCAGGAGCATTCTACAAGCCTCCTAAGGGCTATGCATTCCCCTTTTTATGCCAAAAACAGGCTGTTTGTGGGAGGTCTGCAGAGTGCAAAAACTTTTTTAAAAACATTGCCTCTTCAAAAGCTTGGGGCATCTTATACTCCAGTGTGTCTTATACTCCGAAAAATACGGTAAATTACAAAAATAAAGACAATGGCTATAGTATTGGTATTTTATCCTGATTTGCTCTCTGAATTGTCATCATTTGAAATTGAAATTTTGAAGTCAGGCATGAACAGTTTGTGGTGACATGGCTAATCAGAATGCTACCTTTAACATCAGTTTCTTATTTTATTGAGCTAGTACCACTCAAATACCTTGTTTATATATTTTCCTTTAGAGAAATAGTGTATGTAGATAACACTTACACAAATAATGTCTGGCTTCGTACATAATGTTAAACATTTGTGTTGGATAAATTAAATTTAAAATGAGACTTTAATTCAAAATATGACATCCTGGAAACTATTATGAAAAGCAAAATTGTATGAAGCATATGGATGAACACCAAAGCACAAGTGCAAGGATAATGCAGTTGTGGGTCTCCCAGAACTTTCCAAGAGAACATTCATTAAGAAGTGGCAAGGAGTTTTTAGACTGCTGCAGTGTTTTGCTCAGGTATGTTAGAAAATCAGAGGCAACATGCACATTATTTTCATGTCTTCATTGATGAACATTACAGTCAGTAAGACACTTGTATACCTTCCGTTGTATTGATCTTGTGGACTCTTAACAGCAAGCTTACTAGAAGACCAAGGGGTGTGAATTGGAATAATGAGCATTGATGGAGATTTCTATTTACAATACGTTTATAATAATAAAGATAACATATTTATAACATGATAACATACTACACTGTACAGGTTAATCTTTGGTTAACAATAGTAGTTGGGACCAGAATTTCCATTTCTAAATGATGCAGTCATAAAGTGAAATGTCACATAACCACATCACTTAGGGCAGCGGTCCCCAGCCTTTCCAGCTGGCAACCTGGCCTGGCACAGCAGGGTGTCTGTGAGTGGTAGGCAAATACATGTGCATAGCTGTACTGTTGCGAGTGGCAGGCGGATGTGCCCTCCGCTCGCACCAATGGAGCTTTGAGCGTGAGCAAACACTTGCTCGCAAACACAAGTGCTCTCTGCTCAAACGCCCTCTGCTCATGCAAGTGGAACTTGGTGTGTTAGTGCAAGGGTCCACCCCTCCCAGGAGTGGAGTTTCATGCACGCGCTTGCTTACCACTCGTGCAAGTGGAACTTCACTCACATGCACACACCCATCTCACGTGCATCCAGTTTTGAACAGGTCGTGGCTCAGTAGTGGGCCACGGCGTGGGGGTTGGGGATCCCTGACTTAAGGACAGCAAACCCAGCAGTCCTGGTTTCTGCTGTTAACCAAATCCCATCTGATTGTTAGGTAAGGACTCATCCTGATGGAAACCATTCCTAGCTAGTTCTCTCCTACCCCAAGCCTCAATAAGGTAGATGGCCTCCTGTGCATCTCCATCCCCGCACCCCCATCTCTGCCCTCTGCCACACTGTACTCCACTGCCTTTGCCAGCTCTGTTCTCCCCATCTGATTTTTGCCATCATTTTCCTCCTGCTGATGAGGGGCTCCTGGTTTGGCCCTTTGCAAAGCCGTTTCTGGATGTTCCAGGCCTTCTGCAGGCACCCTTATGCAAATTGTTCTCTGATCCTCAAACGGCAGCAAATGGCAGAGATGCAAATACTTGCACACCAGGAGTTAAAGAAACTGCAGGAGATAACTTGCTGAATTTATTTACTTTGACAGAATGAGGTTACTAATAATATTCTACTTTTAAGAGCAGTAGTATTTTAATTCTTATTGTAAGTGCTTCTCTACTTTTCTGCTATCATGTCAGTAATTTGCACCTCTTCAACTCTGAGCACCTTCCATATCTATGAAAATGTGTTGAAAAAATTTGCATTTGCTCCTTCTTCAAAGGGTGTTTATCAGGTTTTTATATACATTATTCTACTTTTTGTAAGTGAAAATTTTGTGGAGATACTGTTCTTCAGTATAACATACTGGTTCAGTGTAGTGTTGTAAGCACAGCTACTCTGTATGTTTTTCATTGAATGTACTTAAGAAAATACTGAATGTTCAGTTTGTTAATGCCCCAAAGGTTCTAGTCATTTGTTCGATGGAAATAATTCATGCCTTTGAAAATTAATTTAAATACATTTTCAGTATTTTTTCACTAGAATTACAGAAACGTGCACATTAAAAAAAAAACTATTTTCTTCCTCCACACCAGGATTTTGTGGTGAAAGTGGTAACCCAACTGCTGCTTTCAGAATAAAGCATCTGATTCATTTTGCTATTCTTAAAGTTCACCCCATTAGCCAAAACAAACCACCACATTTGTATGTGAACCAATTTACAGGACTGGCAAGTATTTTTTTCAAGAGGGAGATGAAAAATAACGGGCAGAGAATAATAGAAAAGACGTACAAACGGAAAAGGTCCCAGGAAAGGAAGTTCAGAAGAGGGTTTGGCTCAAGAGGGTGGCTAGAAATGAACATAAAAATATATAAATAAATAACATTACTGATGTTCAACCAGTTAAATATGTGTCTTTATGCTTCAAACAATGCCTGTTAAAATTCATTTGTTAAAATGCTAACCTAAAACTTTTTGAAGTTGGAAAATTTATATAATTTCTGAATATTTGTAGTTCAGTATTGATTGGTCCTCTATGGGAAAGAGTGATAGATGACCTCTGTCCCTAATCCATACAAGTATCTTTTTGCCATTGAGTTTTTGGATCAATGCAGCCACATTTTGTTTTGCTTTCAATTGAAGTGTACCACAGAAATGAAATTCTATTGAATTTCAATTTAATTGAAAAGGTTGTAATCTCCCCCCCCCCCTTTATTAGATATTATGATTTAATTATTTGAAGTTTTCTAGGTACTTCAGGAGCAGGAAGTGTCTTTTTAACCAGCAAATTATATTTGTCTTAATGGCTTTTTCTCAGCCACAAAAGATTGTGGGTGAAAGAGAACAGGATCCTAGATGTCTCAGAGGTAAAAATAAGGAGGGAACCTAAGAGACCTTGGAAATTATTATATCTCAGAAGACATGGCATCTAAATAAGTGTGGATAATAGAAAAATGTAAAAACACTGCAAAATGTTGCAAGTGTATTCTGAATGTGAAAAGAAGAAATGGTGCCAAGGGAACCACTTAAAACAAACAGAAGCATCAAAAAAATTCTGAAAATGGAAAAGTTAAAATTTTTCATAAAATATATTCTGAATTTGGCTTACCAAATATTTAAAATTTGATACTTAAATTTTCTGTATATTTTCAACCGAATAAAGTTATTATTAGGTGTTGCTACTACCTTGGTTTCAGTGGTTCATAGTTCTTACAAATATTCTACCTTTATAAATTCAGTATTTACTAGGACTGTGCAACACTTCAGAATGCATCTGGGTACAAATAAAGCCCTTACCTGCAGCTCCTTAAACTAACCGTCCCTTTTCCTGGGATTACATGGTTTCTTTAAAAAGTTACAAAAGATGTTCTATTTCCACTCTTGCCTGCTCTAGTACACATTTTGTCTTTTAATCTGAAGCACTCCACAGCACAGCCCTTACCACTTAAGGAAGGCTGTCTTTTCTTCAAATATTCTATTCCAAATAGTAAATAGTGACAATGGAAGAACTCTTATGAAAATACTAACCATATGTAACTATGTACATAAAAAATATTCTTCTATCGAATCTGGGGTAAAAGATTTTATATGTGGTAGGGTATGTCCCCTAAAATATAAGTACAATGTATTTTACTTAAATTGAAATGATGTTCCCATATTCAGTTGCATCATTTGGTGCTTCTTCCTTTCTATGTTCTTCCTGTATGCAAGAGGAAGTAAGGAGATGGCAAATTTCTGCAACTAAGTTAGTGCCAGGACAAATTCTAGTAAAGAGCTTTTGCAATTCTTTCCATCTAACCTTCCTCTGAACCATTACATTCTATGTCATAATAGGAACATTCAGTGCAAATAGAAATCTTATCATATAGGATTATTTGAACAGATTTCTGAAGATTAATTAGTATTTCATTACAATGTTCCTGCATATTCCATTTTCATCACTCAAATCCATATTTTACTAGTCACTAGAAAATAAAATGGATTTCAGGAAGAACTATCTTGCTCCTAAACAGTATCTGCTTCTTGAATCACCA